CTCTTTACATGGACAAATCTCTACAATACCTTGGCGGGAGGTGCTCGTGCCTCGCTTAGTGCGGCAGTGGTGGGATCAATTGTTGCAAGCGGGTACGGATTCGTAGGACTTGAAAAGCATGATCCTAAAAATTTTGAATTAGAGCATTTACGGATTCGGACGAGCTGGCAATCGAGTCCAACGTTCTTGCGCTTTTATATTTAGCATGCTATGGACACGTGCAGGAGACAAACTCAATAGTTACAAAGATGTTTAGTCCCATTCTGGAAAGGATTAGGACGAAGGTAGCGCGCAGTCGATTCCTTGGCTTAGATGAATCGCATTAAAATTAGCTTTCATTAGGATCTCGTGTTTTTGAACTGGCAGTCGAGATTAGGGGCCGATTTTTGGGCCGAAGTATTCACGGACAGAAATTTGCGCTTTCACAGATATGTTGCTGTTTCAAATGCTGGGGACTCGTACGTACATACTTTGTGGTTTCTTTGGAAGCAGGCAAAGCTTACCACATTGACGCAAAAAAAACAGCGATATAGCGAGCAACATTGTGCTGAACGAATACCTGGAATACATTCGAATCAAGAAGCTCACAACAGACGGACTGATTCGAAATGGTGCAAGCGGATCAAACTTGGGAACCCAACCAGACGTGCAGCGAGTCGGTAGTATGCTAGCATGTAGCTTTTATTCAGTGCTAGAGTTTCTGGACAGGAGCGATTACTATGTAAGGAGATTCGTAAGCAGTTTTTTTACTTCAATCTGATCATATTGACAGGTTGTTTGCAACTTATCCATTCTGTCCGAGTACGGAGCGCACCTTCCTGCGAGCTGGTTCACCAGCGAGTTTGTCAATGCGCTTCTATACAGTGCACGAAAGTGGAAAAGTCACTTAGCTGGAGTTCCTTTTGATTCCAAACCCGATGGAACTTCTTTGATGTGTGTAAAGGGCTTTGCAGCCGCAATATCCCTGTTCGGATTTGGCCTCAAACGAAAAGGTGTGGGAATGTACGCAAAAATGATGGATTTTATTGACGGAAGTGTTTGTTTAGGCGAAGTCATTGGCGAAGATCTGGTGAGCGAAGCGATCAAACTTTCTGTAGCGGTTGCAGAAATGCTTTTGAAGGGCAAGAATGGTGTATCACAAGGCGTAGTCCTCAGCACCATTACCATGCTCTTCGCTGCGTTTGGTACGATGACTCTGGTTTTGAAAACCTGAGAGCTTGACCATCGTGATCTTTTTAGGATCGTCAATTTCAGAAACACTGAGATCTGAGGCTATCTCCACAGTCGCTCGCATGATATATATCTATGCGCCGTATTACGTTGGCTCTGAGTCGAATCTTATCCAAGCTTCGGCAGTGAGCTCCCTCTGCCAACAATCGACGTCATCCAGCACAATCGACACCATAGTTACTGCCTTTTTCACGTATCCGCAGACGGCATCGAATCTCTCGATGTGTTCAGATATCTCCCTTGTCACAATTCATAACATGCAAATGGAAACATCTCTATCGATCGTAAACGTTCCGAGACGTCCGATGGATACGGTAGCTGATATTGCAAGGACGATGCAAATGATCCAGTACATGACGTTTACTCGGCTCACTGGGTCTAAGGAGAGGGAAGACCCAGGCCGAGAAACCAAAACGAGCTGGTGGAGTGGATGGGCTTCCCTTATTTCCCTTGAAGGATGGTGGAAAGACGAGAAAGCCGAAGAGTATAATGGTGGAATCGTACCGGAATGGATGGAAGCGGTCATACAATCCGCCCGAAGGATCATCTTTGCCGAGGAAACGTCTAACGAAGGTGAGTAATGGCGATCTAGTTTATGGGAACCTGAACCTGAGCTCACGTCTGAATTAGTCTCGAGCGCTCACGCGCTTGCGGGGCTAACTGGAATAGTGTAAGTATCGATGTTATGGCAGCGTGCGCGGAAACTTACTTCAAAATAAGGCGAGGTATCCAGCAAGTAGTGGCGTCCGAAAAAGCATCACAAAAGTCGGACGCAGGATCTCCTCCGAAGCCATCTACTAATCCTTCCAAACGATTCTCTTATCTTGCGATATACAAGAGTGTCGCAAATTCTGTCTTGGATGCTGCTATTTTATGCTGCTCAGCTAAGCACACCCCCAAGCCCGCAATAACTTGCGCAATTGCCATGGCAACAGTTTCGGTGGTATCCACTGTCCCTGACATAGATAAGGGAGGAAGACCTCTAAGGTCTGCGTTAGGTTGGCTCCTAGGAGGGTCGGCAACTCGTCAACAGTCACTAGTGGTACGTTCTTGATTTATTGTTGAGAGGATAATCACTCACCGTCTATAAAGTCGCTGTTGAGTGCAGTGTTGGACGTATATGTCACTAACCCCTCAGCCCTTGCTCTAGCAGCTGGGTCGGATGAGAGCCTTCAGTTCTTCCAGACGCTCGGTCTTGCCGTCGCAGACTTTTCTTCGGTCTGTCATAGTCACCGTTGATATGTGCCAATCATTACTAATTGTTTCCGAATAGGCCAAAACTGGATCCTCTTTTGCTCTGGGGCATCCTATTGGTCGGTCTATAGCTGTGCGATGGTGTGAATCCGTTGCGGAGACATCCACAAAGAGCACCATCGAAGAAGCGGCTGGTATTCTGGGTCCGGAACTCGGCTTAGCGTCACGGTCAATTGGATTCATCGTCTCGTGGTTTATTGAAGAATCTGCGGAAAGCGGGAGCATGAGTGCTGAAAGACGAGATGCTTTGAATGATGTCTTTGTCAAGTGGGTCATATGTTCCAAAGTTCAGTTGGCTCTGCTGAACCGATTTCCATAGATTATCTACTTTGACGTCTGACGTTTTTGACGGCATCAGCTCGGCAGAGGGTTTGCTCAAACCGTTGACAGAAGAAGCTTTACGTGCGTACATTTTTATTTTGCATGCTGAAGCTTACCTTTCTCCAGCGTTCAAAGACACTGCTGGCCACCTTCTACGTTATTTCAGGACACTCCTGTTCTCGATCACCGTCATTGGAAAAAGAGCTGTTGATTCTATTGCGGAAATCGAACAAATTCCTGACACCCAGCAAATCGGCCGACAGATTGTGCTCAACTTGCTCCAGAGTTTTGCAAACCTCCATTTTGTGACTTTGAGGTTTGGGTCCGATGGTTTCAAGGCTTGGAATGATACGGTTATACGTGCGCTTGAGTGGATGAGAGACCAGAAGCACCCGAAGCGCAATCACGGTAACAAGGCTTTGCGCAGTCTCAGCTCGGGGGCTGAGGACAACTGGCTCACGGAAATAGTTGGTCAAGTTCTCGGTATGAATACCATTACGCCTAAAGGTATGTTTACAAGCAATTGCCGATTAGTGAAGGAAATTCTTAATATTACGCGTTAGTGGACTTAAGCAGGATCAAGAAATCTCGATTGTGCTTCGGCTTATTCGCTGCCCGACATGCGATCCGGCTAACCGCTTTAGATGAGGGATTTGTTCAGCATGAACTCCTCCCACGATGCCAACCTTATCTAACCTTTGAGAGTGCCCCTCAAGCATTTTCTTCCACCTCGGGCGGCGCTCAAGATGACACCTTCCTGTACCCAGAAGATCGGGACGTGTTTGAGCTGTCGCACTCGATGTATTTGACTGTGCTCGAGAACGCACATCGCTACAAGAGTCTGGTCAGGTCATTCGCAGGGTGGTATATCGACACCTTGCTGAGGGTACGGTTGCTTAATTTCCGGCTATTGAGCTTGACGTTTAATGCGCGATCGTATAGGGATACCCCGAACCTGTGGACTTTGATTTATTACGACGCTGCTTTGCATTTACTGTCAAATCACTTACGGGGACGTCGCAACCGACAAGCGTTTTGCTCGGACGGTCAGCCAAGCTCGGTATGAAAGAGGGACAAGTTGACGAGGATGACGAAGAGGATGGAATGCAGAGTGGCGCACGTCTTCGGAGCGGAAACGGCAGCGAGGGGATGCCGGCTGACAGTGATGAAGACGATTTGGAGAACTCAAGAAGGGATGGCGACACGTTGACAAGTGAGGAGCAAACCGAACCGGTTCAGGACGTTGGCATGGTGGAGGTAGAGGAAGCGGAATACTATGCGGGAGACCTCCTTGGATGGGCATGCGTGCTTCGGCTTGTATTCAAAATCGACCAACTTTGCAAACAAATCGCTGCAGCGGAAAGGTCGGTTCCCGCCGCACTTTCATCTACACCAACACGTGCCAGACGAGCAGGTTCAAAAACTGGTGGTCTGGTCAAATTTCCGCACCCTCGAGCTAGCGAAATTCTCGCAGCATCATTACCGACTCGACTGTATATTCAACGGGAGGAGCTTACAATTATATTGATCGATCAGATACGTACAGTTGGAAACCGAGCTCTTCCTCTCCTGCTTGAGACGATCCGCGGATTCTTGCTGTTTGGCCACGTTCCAAATTCCATTGGTAAAATAACCGAGGAAAATGCTCCAGAGGGCGAGAACTCTTTCGCAGGCCCGAACGACGTAGAACAAGACCAATCTGAGAGTGTTGGATACGGGATTAAGGCGACAACCAAGCTGGAACAGTCCCCACTTTGGAAGGCGCTTTTCGACACGGTAGCTACACCGCTGGGCTCTGATTACACCAAAAAGCCGATTGTAGTGCCTTGGTATCTTGAGCTGCTTGCATTAGCTCGATTAATGCGAGAGAAGTATTTGGAAGAGCTAGACAAACTGAAGAAGCAAAGAAGTTCGCAGGGCGACAGTAATGGATCGCTTCCAATTCCCAGAGATCATCCATTGAGAGCAAAGCTGTGATTCTAGTCTGTTTTTGATCGTTCCCATTCCTCTCAATAAAGAACCAACATGAGAATGACACATTCTTCTAGGTCAGAGATTAAAATTCCCAACTGCCGCACGGAGAAATATCCTTCAGTTCAAATCAGGTCGGACATGAAGATTCCCAATTGCCGAACGGAGATGTATCCTAATTTACCCTACTATACACACTCTCTACAATGAGGAATTGTTCGTAATGGTTCAATCCAGGTTCGAACTGGAGACCTCCTGTGTGTGAGACAGACGTGATAACCGACTACACTATTGAACCATATTCTTCAAAAAGAATAGCTATATTATGTTCTCAAGATTTGCTGTTTGACACTCGTTTTTCACCTGGGTCATCACTTGACGGGCTAGTGTGAGAGTGTTGATCGATCGCAGTCTTTGTAGAGCTTCTGATTTCCCGTCTAGTCTTTAGTTCTGGTGGCACCTCTCTATGGTTTACATTTTGTGGGCTTTTGGTTTGAGGGTATTATTTGCCTATGTGCAGTAATTGCTCAGGACCCCTTCCTTGAAGATTTTATTGCTTTGCTTCCTCGTCATGTCCCGTCTTCTCCGTACCCTGTTCTTTTGTTGGGCGATTTCAATGCCCGTTTTTTTGGCTACTGGTGATCATTCTTCAAATCGCAGGGGTGGTTTGTTTGAGCAATTTATTTCTGCTGCTAGTTTCTCTCTGGTTAAGCACCCTTCCTGTCATAACCCCACATTTTCTACTCTCAATGGTGGCTCAATTATTGATTTGTTATTTGCCAATCCTTTGCTTCAATGTGATCCTATTTCTTGCTTCTTCCTGTGCTGATCCTGATACTGTTTTAGTTAAGTATTGTCACTGTGAGCGTGACTGGCTGTCACCTCAGCATGTCAAAGCTTTTTGTACTTGTTCTCTTTCTCAGCAGGCCCACGAGGATTGTGGCGGTAATGTGTTTAGTTCATCTCCTAGTTCTTTAGCCAAAGTTAGCAAAGTTCTTTCAACCGCACGTAAGTGTTATCAAAAGCGTTCAGCTGCAAGTGGTTTATTGTTGATCCTGCCTCTTTATCTCATTATCGCATTCACTTTGCTTCCGTTTACCAGACTCAGTTTGCACAATCCTCCGCCACTGCAGAACACGTTCGTCTACACGCGCTGAATTATTCTTTGTCAGTTAGTGTTAGTGACTTTGTTTGTTTGTGCTATTCGTTCTTCCCCAAAAAACTCTGCTCCTGGGCCAAACATATTCCAGCTGAGTTGTTTAAGCTGTTAGCTTCTGACGTTGCTATTCTTTTTGTTCAACTTTCAAATGCTATTTTCTGTTCAGGTTTGTCGCTTTCTGCCTGGAATGCTGGCTTGTTGTTACCTGTTTGGAAGAATAAGGGTTCCATTGGTGATATTAGTCAGTACCGCCCCATTACTTTAACCACGTTGATAGAAAAATCTTTGAGCGTACCATCCTTCCTATGCTTCTAGCTTATGTCGGTAAACTTGATCCTGCTAAAGCTGGCTTCCAAGCCAATTGCTCAGGTTTTGAGTGTGTTTTTGCATTAGATGCTACCCTTCGAGGGGCTTCCCGCACTGCTCTGCCTTATTGTGTTATTTTCTTAGACATAAAGCAGCGCATACGCCTCTTTTGTGGGAACATCTTCGTCGATTTCCCAGAATTCCACACCTCTTGATCTATATTTTGATTAGTATATTTGATCATTGTTCTTCTCAGGTTGTTATTGAGAATCGTGCTTCTGATTTGTTTTCGCTTCCAGGAGGCTTTGTCAAGGTTCTGTTTTGTCTCCGTTCTTGTACTCAGTTTTCGTCAATCCTTTAGCACAGCTCCTTTGTCGTGAATCTTCTCATCTTGCTAGATTTTCTAATAATTCTCCTGTTTTCAATTCATTGTTTTTTGCTGATGACATAGCTTTGTTTCTGCTACCCCTAAGCAAGCCCAACATGCATTGAAAAGTTGTGAAGATTTTGCATTTGCTTCTCATTTTGTGTTTTCCCCTTCAAAGTGTGCTGTGTTGTCATCTCAGCGGTTCCCCACCCACTTGAAGCTTCATGGCTCTGCCCTCCCAGTCAAGGTTTCATTTTGGTACCTTGGACACTACTTTGCTATTGCAGGGTTTGATCTTGCTGCAACTAGAACAAGGAGCGTGCCAGGAAGTGGTGGGACGTGAGCATACAGCACACTGGTTTGCCCCAGATTGCATTCTAGACCATTCTGCGGTAACATATCATTTGTACCTATTGATCATCGCTTAGATAAAGCTCGTGCCTCATTGCATCTTTTTGCACCTTATGTCTCGTACTTTGGTGGGTCTGCTCCTCTTGTTGCCAGGTTGTTGTTTCCTTTTATTCGACCTTCACTTGAGTTTGATTTAGCACTTATTCGGCCTTCAGCTGCTCAGCTTCAGGTGCTCGAGCGTTTTTGTTATCATGCATTGTGTCAGCTGTTTTCACTAGCCCATACCACTTCACGTGTTGCTTGTTGCTGTTTGTCTAAATTCCCACATTTGAATTCTGACTGAAGTACCTTCAGGCATGTACGGTTGCTCGCTAGTCTAGTGATTCCAGCCCTCTGTCACCATCTGCTGATTCAACACAACATTCAACAGTGTTGCACAGACGACATCTGGCACTGATAGTGAGGTTCAATGTGTTGGATAATATGGGCCAAACATCCCAGGTAGTATCAGTGACTGTATGGAAGCGTCTAGGTTTAGCTGTGGGAGACTCAGCAGAAAAATAGCCTGCACTTTGATTGTCGTCTTCCAATGGCTTTTTGGTATAGATCCAACTTGGCTACTTGGTCGTTAACAACTGTTCATCGGAATGCGGAATCAGAACCGGAAAGCATAACACACTTGAGCGAGAGTACAGCAGGGCAATGGCAACTTGATCAGTAGCTTCTCAAATGTACTTTCAACTTCAGGAGGACCGGATCATTCCATGATGTGATGCCATAAAACACTCCTCGAGGAATGTCTTTGAGCCAACACTATATCACGAAGGCTCCAATTTTCTCACAATTGGGCGAGCTGGGCCTCTTTGTAACTCAAGATGTTCGCATGTGCCATTGCTAGGTACTGATCATTGATTGTTGATTTGGTCAGATTTCGAGTGTCCTCAGTGCATCAATAAATCAATCAATTGGAAGGTTTTTTATCAATTCCTCAAAATACCAGTAGAAATAAAGTTTTGCATTGTATTGTCACCATTAAAACTAGATGGAAAACAAATTGAAAAGCCAGTAAATGTAGACAGGACACATTAACGTATTTTTACTCCGCTCCACATTGGTCATCTTACGAATACTGTTTCACCTTCCCATGCTTCTGCGGAAAATCCCCATTCTTGTTTCGTGTAAATATTTCCGCTTTCCACACGCCAAGCGATGGGATTGCGTTGCTTGGGACACGTGAATCCCACCATTGCAGGGACAGTTGTTGTTATTTATGCACGACTCCGATCTGTGGGTACTGAGACATCAACACATCAACTTCCAAATCACATCAAAAGTTAGGCTAAAGCTTGTGATCGCGAGAAGAGGCTCGTGGTCAAAAGTTACGGATTCAGCACTACCTCACAGCAAGATGTTAGATAAGATCCTAACCTGGATGGAATGCACGGTTCCGGCTAATATATCTGAATGTGGGATTTGAATTGCGGAACCGCCCGCTCACGCTCACGTGCAGAAGAGTTCAGATTTTATTTTCCCGATCTTCGGATCATTGTGGTTTTTGAGAGAGCTGGAGCCAGCTGGTTGTTTCCATACGATTTTACACATTGTCAAAAATGGGCAATCAGTTTGACGCTATTGCGCCAGCCGATCCTGGTTACTGAGGTCTGCTCCGCACAGCCCGATTCGAATTCTCCGGCAGCACCCCATCGACATGAATTTTTAATTGAACTTTAAAGTTACAAATCCACGTGGACACGCGTAGCGCGTAATTTGGCAGGGTTTTTCCACATCGTGCCCACGATGTGATGGGCAAGGCGGTGGTGACAGACACATCCAGGATCGCGGAACCGGTTCCCTCTCACTATTAAAAAGCCCTCCATGCCCCTTCATAGAAACACACATAGCACGCTGCAACAATCTATACACTTGTACACTTAATCCCCAAAACTTCTTCGGATCATACAGGATGAAATTCGCAGCACTCGTCGCAACTGCCTTCGCGGCCCTTTCCGCCGTAAACGCTCAATCAATTCTGGAGACTCTTATTGCCAATGTAAGTCTAAATATTGAATGAGGAGATTTGACTGACCATCATCTTTTAGGACAACTCGCAGTACAACTTGACAACCCTGCTCACAGTTGCCGGTGTCGCCAAGGGTGTTCCGGAGATTCTGAACGGTACTGGGCCCCTCACGTACGTTGAATAACTACCAAGTCTCTAAGATCAACAATGCTTACAATTTTACTGTCATAGCGTGTTCGCGCCAACAAACGCAGCTTTCGCTACTCTCTTCGCTGCGCAGCCTACCCTTCAGGCAACCCTTCTCGCCAACAACGACCTCCTTGTGTCGGTGCTACAGTACCACGTTGTTCCAGGTCTTGCGTTCACCCCTCCATCCACCGCGGCCACAGTTATCGCTAAGACAGCTGCCCCCGCTCCTGGCCTTGGATCTGGTGCTACCCAGAACCTTGTCGTGAAGGTTACTGCAAACCCCACTGCTGTGTCCCTTAGTTTCGGTCTCGGCACTGCTAAGGTCATTGGCTCGATCACCGCCTCCAATGGTATTATCCACGTTGTCGACACTGTTCTCCTCGCCCCTCAGAAGATATCCGAGACTGCCGTTGCCGCTAACTTGACCGAAATCGTCGGTGCCTTGAAGGCTGCCAACCTCGTTAGCACCGTCGACAGCCTCGTCAACACCACCGTATTCGTTCCGACCAACGCTGCGTTCCAGGCTATCAAGTCTGTCACTGCGACCTTGACCACCGCGCAGCTCGCCGGTGTTCTTACCTACCACGTTCTTGCAACCTCTTTCGGCTCAGTGTTCTCCCCCACCGTTGTTACGCTCGCCAACAACACCGCTCTTGACACCCTCGCGAAGCAGACCTTCACTCTCGGTTTCAACGGCTCGACCCCCTACCTTCGTGGTATCGGAAACACTGCGAACGTTGGCCTCGTTACCACCGACATCCTCGTCAGCAACGGTGTCCTTCACTTGATCGACGCTGTCCTGATCCCCGATGTTGCTAAGCTCCCCACCCAGACCAGCGGTAACGGAACCAATAGCACCGCTACCCCCACGAAGACTGCTGGCGCTATGGCCAACTCTGTCTCGTC